CTCTCATCTATATATCTATATATATATATATATATATATATATATATATATATATATATATATATATATATATATATATATATATATATATATATATATATACTAGGGCTGAACGATATATTGCTTGAGCATCGATATCGCAGTGTCTGTATTCACAATAATCACATCACAGGATTAGATTTTTTTTTTTAAGAATGATGTTATTAAATATTTTTTACAAATAATTTATACAATGATAACCATGTTATTTCACATTTGATTAATTTCTGAACCTAATTACTGTTACACTCTCTAAAACACTATAAAGGACTGTTTATTTAACTTTATTTTTGTTCTATTATATTCACATATGCTTATAGTTTATTTAATTGTTTTTACAGACGCACTGCACAGAATCAGACTGGATCATCCCAGTTGATCTAAATTTACGAATTCTTTCTAAATAGAACATTATTTCACCGGATAAGTTAAATTAGCTCTATTGCAATATATATTGCAGTAAAACAAAATAATCACAATGTCAGATTTTTTTTTTTATCGTGCAGAACTAATATATATATATATATATATATATATATATATATATATATATATATATATATATATATATATATATATATATATATATATATATATATATATATATATATATATATATATATATATATATATATATATATATATATATATATATATATATATATATATACACACATATACATACAATAAACGAAATGTAGGACACTTGGATATTTTGTTTACTGGCCTTGATGTCAAAACACACATTTCTTTATCATGATGGGTCTTGAAGACCTTGGATTACCGGGTTGTGTTAAACAAGTCATCTTAATATTAATTTTCCGAATAATAAAGTATCATATAAGTTTTTGTGTATGTAAAACCCCTGTGTTAAAGTCGTATCATTGACGCCCGGTTTATTGCCGCGCTTTTTAAAATGCGCGCGCTCTCCGGCGGGCTGAGAGGAAGTGGCGCGAGTTTCTGAGGTAAGCTTTAACAACAAATTATATCGTCTATTTATTAATGTTTTCATGTTAATGGAGAAATATGAAGCGTGTGTCACCCATATTAAAAATATCGAGCTCCCGTCCGTTGAATACACGCGAACGCGATTTATTTGACAACGAATATTACTTTGATCAGTCAGAGATCTCGTACAACTCTCCTAAGTAGGTTAAAACGCCCCAAAAAACCACATGTTAATATAACCACACACATTTAGGAAACGAAATATGAAGCGTATGTTACCTTAATTAAAAATATCCAGCGCGTTCTTTGAGTAGCTTATGAGTTGAAAACGAATTATTTTGATCAGTAAGAGATGTCATACAACTTTCCTTAGGTTAAACCTCCAAAATATCCACATGTAAATATAAACATACACATTTAGGAGACGAAATACGAAACCTGAATTACAAATATCAAGTGCTCGTCCTTCGAATATACATGAACGTGTTTTAATTGAAAACAAGTAACTGGTTATTTTGTTTTGGTATAATTTTCCTTAGATGAAATAAACCTACATACCCATATGTACATGAATCACACACATTAAATGAGTCAATAAAACTGAACATGTTTTTTGAGATATGGTTAAAAGTCTTTTTATTGGTTACAATATCAGTGTATGGCAGCATCATCACCATGTTACTTTACAAATACCAAAAAAGTTGAGAAACAAAATGTTATTAAAAATGATTATTTGAAAATATGGCACTGTAAAGGTACACAAGGCACCACACTCCTGCTTTTAATGGCTCAAATAAAACAAACTCATGTAAGATACAATTGAGCCAAAAGTATATTGTGAATACTTAAAGCATCAGGGTTCAGGCAAGTAATTCTAACATGCTCTGAGTTTGAGTGGTTTGGCTTGTTGAACATTTGGAAATATTGTCAAAATCTAAACTCATGTTAAAATTGTTGGTTTTGATTGGTTCAGAACCAACCACTGAAACCTTCAACATGTTTATAACAAAACATCCACAGAAATAATCACTGATTAGCAATCTTGCAACCTCTACAGTCCTAACCATAGACATCTGACTTAAATCTAACCAATACTTATAACACCAGCAGATAAATTCCTGTTTAAATTGTTGACTTAAAAGTGAGACATAATTACTTAAAACGCATCCCTTTTCACAGTTAATCATCCCAAAACATCATAAAAACAATAATAATAAAAAAACTGATCTTTATGGTGTGTTAATCAGCTCAGAGCAATGCAAGGGTGTTTATTTACGCAAAAAAACAAAAAGCATCTTCATACGGTCAAAGGACGAAAATACACTTAATACCTCAAAATAATTTCAAGCTGCTTTCCGATTCCCTTTTATATAAAAATGCGAAGAGAAAGATTGTAAATGCTGTTCACAGTTATATGAGGTGTTAAGAGCGTCAACAATGGCACAAATATTATTTTTTAATTCAGGCTTGTTAAGGTGAAAGAGCTGGACTCAAACACCGTTTCTATTTGAAAAACAGAGATTTGTTAGAACCGATGGCACTTATACATATATATATATGGCGAAAGTGAGTAAACGGCTTCATCGCTCTTTTCTATAATTATTATACAAAAATTAATCCAAATAGAGTGACTCTGATTCATCATCCTGGCCAGGTAGTGTTCTTCATTTCCACCCGTATCACCATTCAGATCAATCCAATTTAGCTTAATATAGAAAACCAAAAATGTATACTGTTTACCGTAGTGCTGTTAAACGATCAACTCGCAACTAATCACAAAATAAAAGTTTGTATTGGAATGAGTGTACGGTGTATATTTATTATGTATATAGAATTGTACACATCTATCTACACTCTCAGAAATAAAGGTATGTGAGCGGTCACTGGGGTGGTTGTGAAAGGTACAAATTTGTATCTAAAAGGTCCATATTAATACCTCAAGTTGGAGTATTAAAATGGACCTTTTAGATACAAATTGGTACCTTTCGAAAAGGTACCACCCCAGTGACAGCTCACATACCTTTATTTCTGAGAGTCTTTCTGTCGGTCTATAGCTGAAGTCAGAATTATTAGCCCCCCGTTTATTTTTTCCCCAATTTGTGTTTAACAGAAAAGAACACATTTCAACATTTCTAATCATAATAGTGTTAATAACTCATCTCTAATAACTGGATTTATTTTATCTATTGTCATGGATGACAGCACATAATATTAAACTAGATATTCTTCAGACACTAGTGTTCAGCTTAAAGTGACATTTAAAGGCTTCACTAGGGTAATTAGGTTAACTAGGCAGGTTAGGGTAATTAGGCAAGTTATTATGTACCGATTGTTTGTTCGGTAGACTATCGAGAAAAAAATATTGCTTAAAGGGGCTAATAATTTTGTCCTTAAAATGGTGTTTAGAAAATTAAAAACTGCTTTTATTTTAGCCGAAATAAAACAAATAAAGGCCCGTGCACACTGGGATGATTTTTGCTCGGGTTTTCTGTTGACGTTTAACCCCTTGTGATTAAATAAAGGGCGTCAATGTGATTGTGCACACCAACGCACAAAACGGCAGGCGCAAAAGCGTAATTTTTAAAGAAACGCCTCATGCTCATTTTTTTTTTTTTTTTTACGCCACGTAAAAACCTCCTCCAATCAGATTGGCACATTTGTTTGTCACTGGTGAACAATAGTCATTTCATCATCGCTAGAGCTAGAGCTGCTGCTTGAACCATCCATGCTTGTACGAATCGCTAGTAACTTTAACAAGTTATAAGAGGGTATCAGAAGCTTAAAGTTGTGTCGCACTCTTCTGCTCGACGCCAGTGAAAAATCGCTTGGGTTTGAATCCAGAAAAACGTCTCGAAAATGCTGACAATAAACGCAAATGAAAAGCATCCCAGTGTACAGCTTTAAGACTTTCTCCAGAAGAAAAAATATTATCAGACATACCGTGAAAATTTCCTGAATCTAAAAAATAATAATAAATTCAAAGGAGGGCTAAAAATTCTGACTTCAACTCTATGTATCTATCCATCCATCCATATATATATATATATATATATATATATATATATATATATATATATATATATATATATATATATATATATATATATATATATATATATATATATATATATATATATATATATATATATATATATATATATATATATATATATATATATATATATATATATATATATATATATATATATATATAT